TAATTTGGTAAGATACTTGTTCTAAACAAAAGTAATGGCCTTATTGAGGTTGGATACTAATCCAAAAAGTGCGTTAAGATATTGTTAAGTTCAGCAATCACCGCCAGAAACAGCAAATATCGTTCATATATCGCATGTCGACTTACTTTCGCTTTAAGTGTCGCTGGCTAAAAAGTTAATTGACATGCGATATCGAAACGATAACATAGCGATATCGCCAAAATTTTGCTGTCGGCCCATTTCTGGCGGTGAATAAAGCATTCCGGTAAAGCTGAAATGAATAATAATGAGGGGAACAACAAAACTGAAATCACCATGCTTTCACATGCACTGGAAAAAAAATAGTCATCACTTCACAAATTTTCCTCTCCTAAATCGGTTTCACAGATGGTATGTTGTCAGGCCATTTACAAATACGTCAAGTGACATGCATATTAGGGTGTTTCATTCTCAACATTTAAGCACTTTGCGCAGTGGGTTCCCCATCTCGGAAATGAGCAAGCGGTGGGTTTTTAGAAAGTTGGCCCCATGTCCTTGCAAACAAAACACCGATACCTCAAATCCGACGTAAGTAAGGAACTCACCGCGCACAGCGCTCAAAAGTTGTCAATGAAACACCCTAATGCATATGGTTTTCGTAGCCTAACGACGACTCAATTAAGTGACAACATAATTTTTGAGGTGACAAGTGGTCTATAATCAAGACTTTACAAATCTTCAGTAGGGAGATAGATGATTTGTTTTATATAGTATAACGACTGATTCGCCAAAGTCAATAAGACACAAGGGAGTCATCACACATGTGACGATTTGTTTTGTCACGACCTTTATTGTCACTTAACTAAGTTTTTACAGTCTGGTGACTTCCGTTTTCTTGCTCCCCGCATTATTTCGCATTTCAGCTTCACCGGAATGTTTTGTAGAATAAAAGGTCCCATAACGCCTTATAGGTAGGCAATATTTTGTCTGAAGTGCATGCGTGTATTGCGGGGTGGCCTACCTCCTGTCTCGCAGGCGCCTAGCTCACCTCCGTGAAGTTGGCACCACCCATAGCCGATGGAAACTAGTGCTACCTCTTATCTTTTAGTGCTCAATTAGTGCTTTCGAACTGTACTATTTCTAGAATTAGTGCTACCAAGGCTAGCGTCTAAAATGATTAAGAATGTGGCTGGTGCCAGCTTCACGCGAGCACCGCCCACCAGTGCTCCCAAAAGAGCTGGCTCTTGCGGGCTGAATGCATTTTGCTCGCAGGCGAATGAGCCCGCAAGAGCCCGCAAGGTTTTTCAATTCTAAAATTTTCATATTATTTCCAATTAAATTGATTTTTTGCCTTGACAGATCTTTCGAAAGTATGCCATTCTTCAGGTACGTCAAGGCAAAAAGTCAAGCTAGAAATATCAGCGTAAAGATGGGAACCACCTGGTGCTTATTCATTAAATAATTAACGGACACTTCGCTCAGATAATGTAGTAGTTTTTCTACCAGTGTGACTCTACTGACTTCCAGGACTAGTTTAAATGGAAAGAGGCAGAAAGTGGGCAGTCTATGGAGCGCAAATCTTCAGGTCATTATTCCTTAACAACGGAGGACGGCATCCGTAGGGCCTACTAGACTCCTATAGAATGCAAATTTTCGTCACTGGGGAGAAATTGTTAACTATTTTGTAAGACCACCCTGATCCCTCAAACGTAGCTACAATTCTGTCCGTCAACGCCGAGTTCAACGCTATAAAACCATTTATCACAACATACTTTTTCCATAAAACTAGAAATAAAAGCAAGAACCGCCTACGGACTTGACCATCCTGCTGCCGAAAAAGTGACATGAACCTACTAGATATTGTCCTAGGTTAATTAGCCATTCGCATCGCCTCCT